CACTTGACGATGCCCGATGGCGATGTTTTCTTCATTTTGCAGCACAGATTTTGCGATCTATAGAAGGTTTTGAACAAAAAGGGAATGTGCCAGTGAACTGGTACACAGCACTATTCCAACAGTATATTTACCAAGCCCAGCCATACACGCACTGTACATGTTTGTCTCTGCAGGTCTAATTTCTGTGGAAATAGGAAGGCATTTTGTGTATGCCTGGTTAGTAAATATGTGGAACTTCCGAGGATGAGACTGACGCTGATAATTTTAGTACTGAGCGTGTCGTATGTAGCCCTGTTACCATCCTGGATAGTCTGCATTCGTTCAGATTGTTGCTGCCCTCCAATGACTGAATGGTTAGATAGAATGGTTTCCAAATTACAGATTAGGTAACATATACAGGAAGCTGCAAACACAGTAACTGTAGAGACATGTAGCTCAGAGATTTTTTCATGTTTATCTTTCAAGATTCATCTGTAATTTTACATTATGGGATATTGTCTCTATTTTGGAAAAAAGGTTATATTACTACACATACAATCACGCATTATGTATCTACTGTAATAAAAGATGATATTTGAAGCATCTAATGTAATATGTTAATTTTATTATAATGACAGTTCTTAACAATGGCTCTAACAAAAACATGTCAAAATGCCTTGGAGAATGTCATGATTGATACATTTTATTTTGGTCTATGAAAGTCATTGGTAAATATTGTTGAGAAATATTGGTTGTGAAGACTGGGACATAGTTTAAGTGCTGATTCAACATTCATGCCATGCTTATGAGTTGAGCTTTATCTTTGGTGATAGCAGAGAAATGGTCAGAATATTCCAATGACTGATTGCCAGATGGAGATATACAGTATCGCAGGGTGTTGAGTGTACGGTTTACATTCTTAGCTTGTCTCTCTAATTGGTCAAAACTGCATTCTTATACCATTTAAGTTTCACCGATCATGTCACCATGCCATTAACGCCGCCTAGCAGGTCAGGTAAAAAGTGCACATAGTTTTGGCTTTATGACTATGATAATATCGACTGCTACATGTAGCATAGCCTGGTTGCCATTCTCCGTAGTTGCCATCAGCTCCCTATTGTCACTGGCTACCACTAGTATCTACAGAGGATGACAACCAGGCTAACTAGTAACTGACGAGTTATAACCTTACTAGTAACTAGAAACTTACGGGAAGACTTCTTGTTTGGACTCCTGAATACCTGACTAAATGATGATGATACATGCCACCTGTATTTCTATGAAATATATTTGTGGTGTCTGTATTTTCAGTTATGCGTTATGCTTTTTAATGGAACAAGTCACATGAATGTACAATCATGTACATGTATGTTTATTTCATGTGTTTACATACACTTTGTCCAACTTATGATCACCACAGCACATTATGGTCTTTTAACAGCCTTGGTCAGCTACCAGTTTTGCATTTTCTTTTCCCCACCTTTTATTACTGATACCTTGTATGATCCAAAAGCTCTGCAGTGTTCTTTATGGTCAACAGGGGGCTCTTGTGAGCTATGTATTCCTCAGAAGTGTTGACAGCATGCAGCATTTCTCCCTAACTCTGTCGATATGTTTATGCTAAAAAAGTATGACTGAGCCCCTGCTTGATCACCACTGGACCATATTTGCAAATTTTCATTTTCATAAGAAATACAGTACACTTTGATACAGGCTTCTGACTTATGCTGTTTTAACAAATACAAACTACCATGCATCAATAAAAGACTTATATTGGACAAAGTTAATGCAGTTTTACATTTGCAGAAATGAGTCAGAATGCCCAACATTTCAATGTATGTGTGAGATGGTCTCTATTTACAGACACCTTCCTTTGTTTTTAGTTCAGATTTTAAACTTTCCAATTATAATATGAACAATTAAACTCAACATGCTTTTCAATATATGATCATGAAAGTAAAGAATAGTAATATATGAATCCAATCTTTGCCAGGCACAAGTCAATTACTACATGTAGTAAAGAAAATATTCTTTTTCTTCAAATGTAAAGAAAAAGGGAAAAACTTTGATGACCATTTCTGTGGGTTGTGCTGAGACACAGCACACACTTGTCGAATATGTGTTAGGCTCACCAAAATCATAAAGTTAACTTTTCATCACATACCCTTAGGTGGGTATAGTAATGTTACAAGGATCCACCAGAAACCCATAACAGAACAATAAGAAGGAATTATGGTACACTTCCTCAAGTACCTACGGTTCATATCACAAGAGCGTACATTTCACCCCATAGGTCAGGGTTTTTGTTTCAACTGAGTTGTTGGTGAGACAGACTGTCTACAGAACTGGACCTCTTGGCCTGAGACATATGAACAGGTGCATTATATGATGCCATTTGGGTTAGACGGTGGAAAGGCCACTAAGTTTGGAGTCAAGATCTCTGGCAGTGGTTCTTCGTAATGTCTGTGAAGTGCAGGAGTTCACAGAAAGCATTTTTATTTCACCAAAGGAAGATTGGCAAGACCAGTGACTGTGGTAAAGTCTACAAAAGAGAGGGAGAGAAATCCATCATCCATGTATCTGAAGAAGAAAGCAAGCAAGCCTGTCTAGTTCAACAACCTCCCTCCCCCACCCCATACACAAATGTTTTCAATGCAGCCAGCTGACAGCACAAATCATGAGATTGTTTGCCTGACTTTTTGTAGACGCCTGCACATAAAATTTGAAGTGTTCCATATATTTACATAGATGCCTTCTATCCTTGTATCAAGTACCCAAAGTTTTATAGACTGGATTAGAAATACACCAAGGCATGAGTCAGAAGGTGCATTATTGTCGGTGGATCAGCAGCTTCAAGGCTGGAGAAGATCCAGCCTTCAGGCCAGGACTCTGGGGAGATATGTGTTCTCATCAGCCTGTCGTAGATACTGCCGGAAGCAAACTAAGAGCTGGTCAGAAAAACTTGCCAGATTCTTGTTGGCAACAGAAGGGTTTAGTTGCATAACAGAGTATAAGGCTGATTCAACATTCATGTCATGCTCATGAGTCAGTAGTTGTAGATGCTGCTGGAACTTGTGGAAGCAAACTAAGAGCTGGTCAGAAAAACTTGCCAACAGATTCTTGTTCAAAATGAAGGGGTTTAATAGCACAACAGAATATAGTCTGTTGTAGAGACTATGTTTCACCAGTTACATGTTAAATACAGTTATATTCAGTGTTTTATTTCCAACAAGGTAATACTGGTATTGAGGAAATTTGAGCCAATGAATATTCTACCACATACATATCTCTTGCATATGGTTACATTGTCAAGTCTATATTTGACAATGGCCACATCAGAAGCAACCTTTTCCCAGTAATAAACAAGAATTATTTCCTTCTCTGAATCCGTACCAGGGGGTGATAGTATGGGTGGATTACTGCTACACGGCATGTTGCAGCGTTGTTTCGCCCATGAGATATTTATTACAGGAATAAAAGAAACATGAGGGCAGCAAAAGGCAAGTCCCCGCTGTGCTGATTATGCCATAAATCTCCAGCATGGATTGATACCTCGGCTGCTGCTTTAATTTCTAGTTTTTCATTCTTCCTGGTTTACAATGTCCCAAAGCTCCCAGATGTAATATTCTAGGCACATGGCAGTGTTTTATGACATTTGATTGCACATACACTGGAGACCTGTTTGTTTTGTAGCTATTGTAGATGGAAGGTATCTATTGTTGTTACATACCTTGTAAAAATAATGTAAAGCACTCTTTGTTAAGCTAAGTGTATAACAGCTGGAGTGAATGAGGATATGTACACACATTTAATAATGTCTAAGTGACTCATTTATTAAGTCTTGGTGAAAAAGTATGTATGTTTAGACCTATATATTTTCCTATGCGTGTCACAGGCCTGAGCAGATCTTTAGCATGAACTTCGATGATGAAGTATATGTTAATTACTGCTTTTGGTGTTTAATCTATGATTAATTTGTTGGCCTGCATTATTTAAAAATATATCTTTATCTAGATATGCTTGATGTCCTAAATTTGAGGCTCCTACCTAAAAAGTTTTTTGATAATATTTGGAAGCAAACAAATTTCCTACTTATCTGCACTCCTTTGGTTATAACTTATTTTGCGTCAATACATTTCCACAAATCACAGTCTTAGTGGAGTCCGATTTTCTCCATTTCACTACACATCTCCCCTCAAGTTAGCACATAAACGTCAAAGTGCTTTGAACGTAATGAATTTGCAGTGCTAGGTTTTCATGAGCTACAAGTTACAAAATGTATGTTAAAAATAAATTGACGTTACGAATTTACCATGTACATGTAAGTTGGCTGAAAGAATGGCTTCTTTGCATTCAGTAATTGCAGGTTTTATTACATTGTGTTATAACTATAACCCTGTCTGTATTAAACATTAATCCTGACGTTACTTTGAAACATGTAGAGCTTGCCAAGACTGTATACTCGTATTAGAAAACGGGGAACAAAGGACTTAGCTGTCGCAGTGAGAGGAGGGGGCACTCAGAGACATGTCCCACAAGGCACACCTTGGTCCTCAGCTGCTTAAATAAGTCCCTATATCATCAACTAAGAGACAAGAGGCCAAGAGTTGTGTATGAAAGACCCTGACTAGTTGTGTCTGTAATTTATCATAGACTTCGAGTTGTACGTGGAGAACATTTCATCTTTGTGGGTGGGGAAAATATTTGGAGACATATTTCACTTTCCTTCACAATTTCTCCTGTGTGTTGTGAAATGACTTACATTACAATGAAGAAAGTGCATACACACATGGGAAATGTACATGTACATGGTAATTTTAGTGTCAAAATTTACTCAAATGTAAGATTATTTAACTGTGTGCAGCTGCAGTGATTTTTTTGCATGAAAACCCTTTTTTTTTTTCAAACAATGAAAAGTGGACAAATTGATTGTTATCTTGCTGACTTTTGGTGCGTAACCATTTTGAGGTAAATCTCATTACAAGTATTTCAGTAGGTTAAAATTAAGAGTTGAAGAGGAGTGCATTGAAGATGATCCAGAGATTTAATTCTTTTTCTATTTAAGGATGCACGTGACTGTGTTACATAGTAGTATTACATATATAAATACAATGTTGTTTTTTTAAAGGCACCTTAAATTCCAGAATATAACTTCACCTCTGACTTAATTCATATTCGGAACTACTTTAAATGCATGATCCTGGTTTAGACTTTTGAGGACGTGGACAATGTCATATAAAACTGCAAAATGTGGAAGAACATTAACCTGCAAGATCTGTTCCCAAGATACTTAAATCAGGTATAGGAAAGTTCTATGCCACCCTTATTACAATGTACTCCTAATTGTGAGCGTCACACTTGACTTTTTGATTGATAGATTTTTCCTGTCTGAAGGCAGGCTATGTAGTACTGGACTTGAATGGTAGGACAGGTTTGCAGATGATATGTGTCTGGTTCCCCATCTGGTTGAACATTGGCAGTCCCGCCATGAAGGTGTTATCAAGCACATCTGGAGTTGGCATCTTTGCCAGAATGATCACCTATGTATAACACAACACAAACATTAAGTGTATTTTCTTCTGTGATCCAACACCAAAAGGTGTAAGTAGGGGTGAATTACACAGCTGTGTATAGTTTGGCTGTAATTGTTGAAGATAAGAAATGTTATCTTTTACATGTGCGAACCGTCTGACCTTTCCACTTTGCTATTTTTGATGCTGGTGTACATGTAATGTAGCAATGACACAAACCAACCTTTCTCAGTCTTACTACATTTTGTACTATGTGTAATTTCAAAAGAGCTGTCAGGTACACATATAGCCCCTTTGAAATTCGGAATCACTACACGTACATAAAGCTAAGAGATACAGGTCCCTAAGTTACAATGATACTTGCTGCAGCATCTTTTGTCATGACCAGTTGAGCATACTATATTACCTTCCTCTCTGTCGGAACCTTCCAGAGCTTGGCACCATCTTGTTCCATGACACCAAGTGCTGCCATGGCCTCCTGTTTCCATATCCCAAAAAGTTCTTCCTGTGTCATACCTTGGAGACAATGTCATGAAGAAAACTTACTACAACATTTTGTACAAAATGTATGTGAAAACTAATAATGGATCATTTGTAAACTTTTCCAATAGAATAATCCACGGCCAATATCCATGACCACACATATTCTCTACTGCTAGCACTATGCAAATGATACCATAATGTATTTAAGTTACACAAAATATACATGTATTTTTGATGGTGTTGACTTGATATACATGTCACAAATGTAAAATTCTTATCATTTATTGTTAACTAATTACAAATTGTATATATATATATATAAAGGTGTTTTGGCATTGCCTTCTTAGGAAAATGAGGTGCACAGGTGCACATGCATGTAATTGATGCCTGTTAATGTTTCTGTCTTTCTGTGTGTCACATGTATGAATTTCCTTTCATACAAGAGCTATGAAATTTGTTCTTGAATTATACAAATCATGTTCCCACATATAGTAATGTAATAATGAAATAATGTGATGAAGAGGACTCCTTACCCATGTACTCGACATCAACGGTCAGCCAGTAGAACTGGCCTGGACCGGCGGCCCATTCCTTGGTTTGTTGAAAGGATGTCTCGACTCCGAGAACCTCCTTCGCGAATGCCTCGTAAGGACGGAGTGGAACACACTGAACCTGCACCTGCTGGCCGATACTTGGGGCAGGGTTCTTGGTCAGGGCAGAGTCCAGCTCAGCAGCATCGCTGGCTTGGACAACTTGAAATACGTGATTATTAGAAATGTTTCACAGACAGTCAGAATGCTGAACTACAGGACGATGCATAGAAATCTGACAAAAAATGGAATTCTTTAACATTTAGTGGTTTTCTCAAGTTTGGAGATGTGCAGAGAAATGTACAAAAAGCCAGTGCATCACACAATAATAATTGTATTTCATTAATTCAGAAATGTTGAAGCTGAATATAACATATCCAAAAAACTTGAGTCTCACCTGCAATAAGTTTGGGTTCTGCCAAGACCTGAGGGGACATAAACGTGCCATTTTTAAAAAAAATTTCACAACACAAAAGAAGAAAGTACAAAGTAGCCAACTAGCATATCATGTATTGTTTAATGGGATGTGGCAGGGTGTCCGTTCCATCCAAAGGACCACAACCCCTACCATTTACATGCAATTTCATAGTAAGAGACAAATGCAGAAGCAAGATTGCTATAATTTACAATGTAGTATAAACCAATGCCCCACGGTATGCTATACCAAGGACATTCTAATGTCCTTGGCTATACAAAGCATATGTGCAGCAAAAATACCGAACATAGTTGGAGTCTTACTTTGAAGAGGAACAGAAGTTTTCCATTCTCCACGTTGGACATGGCCTGGGTCAGTGCATCGGCCGTGCCTGTAACCAGGCCGTCAAGCGGGCACTGGTCTGATGCAGTGAAGGTGTACTCCAGAAAGTACTGT